AGAAAAAAGAAGAAAGGAAGAAAGGCAGTGAAAGAGGGAGGGAGGGTAGGAATGATCATTTGTTTCTGATCATTTTTGGTATTTTAGAAATGTTCAAGAAGTTTTTGGGCTATCTTTATGAATCAGTGATTCTTGGCTTTTTTTTTTTTTCTTCTGCTCCAGTAAAACTTCTCTCATACAGGTAAGGACTATCACATATTCATATCAAGCCCAATGATCTGCTGTCTTATTGAATCTGAAGAAGAGGGTGAGGTACTTCCTTGGGAAGGTATATACAAATCTCAGAGATAGGAAAATGTGTACATACTGTTTCTATTGTGTCTGTACATAAATGTATTTGTGCAGTTTGAAAAGGCCATTAAATGATTCTCATATGCCCTCCACAGGGAGACTGGGAATTTCTCCTTGGAAACAGAATAGCCAAGTGTTAAAAGTGGACCAGAATTTAGGAAGCTTTCCATAGAAAAATGACAAGTAATTATTATATTTAGTAAATATTTTAGCACATGCAATATAATCAGTTTCCTTTTCCAAAAAGAAAGCACATATCATTCCCTAGATATCTTTTTTCCATTATAGAAATTCGCTTCATGATACTTATAAGTATCTATTAGTAGAATTAGTGTATGACTATTCCAATTCACAATCATTAATTAGGTGTTAAACATTCAATTATTTATCAGCAAAACATTGATGAACATTTACAAATATTCAGTCAACTTGTCAGTAAGTTCTTACTTGGGTGAAATTTTCTGATTTTAATTGAGTCATAAAATGTTTTGGGTCACGAGTGCATCAATTACTAAATTACTGATCCATTGTACTGTAATGTCCTGAAAAAGTACAGGCAACTTCTGAAAGCCTAATTGAATCTTGGAGAGATATTTATTCACCATTGGATTAAGATAAATGAGTCAACTCACAATAATCACACTAAACTTAGGTACATTCATTTCACAAATGGTTAAACTGAAGCTCAGAAAAGATAGAACTAGAGAGGTAAGGATCCAGGTGAAAAGACCGAATTCCTAATATCTAGCTACAGAAAATAAATACATGAGGGTGCCTGGGTGGCTCAGTTGGTTAAGCGACTGTCTTCGGCTCAGGTCATGATCCTGGAGTCCCAGGATCAAGTCCCGCATCTGGCTCCCTGCTCAGCAGGGAGTCTGCTTCTCCCTCTGACCTTCCTCCCTCTCATGCTCTCTCTCTACCGTTTTCTCTCTCTCTCTCAATAAATAAATAAAAATCTTTTTTAAAAAAAAGAAAATAAATACATGAGCTTGAAAGCAATAATAATTATTTCTCTGAAAGTTCATTTTCATGTAGTGTTATTAAGTTTAATACCTCTCCATTAATAATTTATAAACTCATGGTGTTTATACTAATATGGCCTTGTTGCATTGTAAATAGCATAATAAAAAACCCCACAAAATTTTAGACTCTTTTAAGGTAAAAACTGTCCTAAAACTAGTTATCTCAACCACCTACTATATGGGTTACTTGGAAAACGAAGGATTTTTTGTAATAGGGTCAGTGGTTATGAGCACAGGTTTGGAGTAAGAAAAACCAAGCTTTGATACTGGCTTCTGTACTTATTAACCATGAGAACTAAATGAGTTACTTAATTCTTGTAGTTATTCCATCTATGAAATAGAGGGGAAAACACGTAATTCATGATGTATTGTAAGGATTAAATAAGAAAATTTATTTAACTACTTAGTACTGGGCCTAGCAGCAAATATATATGGGCTGATATATATGTATAAATGTAAATATATATACACACACAAACACACATAAAGTTTAAATGTAGCTTAGAATAGTTTTGAGGCCATTATTACTTCAGAGTCTAGATTTATTTGAACTGGTTTAGCATTCCATTAGGTATGTTACTTTACATGTTTTTGTGTTTTTGTTTTTGCTTGTTTGTTTGTTTGTTTTGGTCTCCAAAAGCAAATAAAACCAGTTTCTATACTTCTTCATAAAACAATGCAAAAGAAAGAAAAATAATAACAAAAATGTACAACAAACAATTTACTATTATTTGTATTTGTCTGGAAGGAGCTTCCCACAGCTTTAATCATAGCCATTGTTATTATTTCAAACAAAATACATCTCTTAGATATTTAAATGTGTGTTCGCATATCATGGAATTGAAATCTAATTCATTTGTTCTGTGATCTCACTGCAATTCTGCTAAGTGCTTCAAATAAGTAAAATAGCATGTACTGTAGTTTTGAGTGCTAGCACTAAGAATCTAAAGAGATACACATTGAAAAGAAGGGTTGTCCAAGAAAAATTAGGTCTCCTTAATCTTTAATTTTTCATTAAAACACTTCTGAGGTTTATACAATAAAATCATGGTAGAGACTTTTGGCAAATGACATTATAACTTAGTGCTATATGAAAGTTCTAACAAACTAACATATTTAGAGCTTAATAATACAAATTCTGGGGGCGCCTTGGTGGCTCAGTTGGTTAAGTGTCTGCCTTCGGCTCAGGTCATGATCCCGGGGTCCTGGGATGGAGCCCCACATCAGGCTCCTTGCTCAGCAGGGAACCTGCTTCTCCCTCTCCCTCTGCCTGCCACTCCCCCTGCTTGTGCTCTCTCTCTCTCTCTCTTTGTCAAATAAATAAATAAAATCTTTAAAAATATATATATAAATTCTGATGCAGAGAAATCTAAACCAAGAGTAAAATGCTATGTTGAGCTTTTTTTTTTTTTTAATTTACCTGCCTAATAATTTACATGTTAAGAATATAATTAAGTATCTTGGGAACATTTTCTCAGAAAGAATTCTTTAGGATAAGTTTTGCCTTTGCTACTGTGTTAATGATGGCTTTGATAAAATGACCCAAGGAAAAAAGACAATTTCCTTCAGGTGTTATCTGTGTCTGAAATATTCTTCACTGATTTCACATGCACTGATAATATGAACAAGGTAATTTATCTGACTCTGGTAGGGCAAGGTTTGCAGTGAGAAATGCAAAATTCACACAGAGTTTGCCTCTAAGAAATCTCTGCCGTGTTTTTTAGTTTATATAAAAAGACTAAAGATGTTGCCTGATGCATTGTTTTCTTTTCCTTAAAGCAAGCTGAAGCACCACAAATCAAATTGTTTTTCACATTGTTAATTTAATATTTTCTCTTTCAATTTCTCAGAGAGCCGACATAGGGATTTCTGCTTTAACCATCACCCCAGATCGTGAGAATGTGGTGGACTTTACAACACGCTATATGGACTACTCAGTGGGAGTACTACTTCGAAGGGCTGAAAAAACAGTGGACATGTTTGCCTGTCTCGCACCATTTGATCTCTCTCTCTGGGCTTGCATTGCTGGCACTGTTCTTCTGGTGGGTCTTCTGGTCTACCTCCTGAATTGGCTTAATCCCCCACGATTACAAATGGGATCAATGACTTCTACTACTCTCTACAACTCCATGTGGTTTGTGTATGGATCCTTTGTACAACAAGGTAAGGAGAAAAAATACATTTTAGTCTGAAAAAGGAATATGTTTCAAATGCCATGAATCAGTTAAGAATGTTCTGTATCTGACATCAATAAGTGTTCTAAAGGGTCTTCACAGCAATGCTCAGAAAAGAACATTTCCTACTCTTTCCTAGAGGATCTCAAACACAGCAGGTTTCCCAAAAAATGGTTCATTATCTTTTGATGTAGGTTCAATTTCATCAACAAAGCCAAAAATGAATGTCAGAGGTAAGGTTCACAAGAAACTCAAGATCAGATTTCCCCTCCTCCCCCCCAATTTTTTTTTTCCTTTCTCTGACATTCTGAGAAATAGCCTTACTAGGATGAAACAACTTACAACCAGAGCAGACACTGTTTAATTATTTACATATATAAGGCATTTGGGACTGGTTCTTTGTTCAGAGACATTATTTAATATATTAAAAATATTCAATGATGGTGAAAAAACTTTGATTCATTTAAGATTCTGATAAGAAATTTTGTCTTTTCTTTCATTTTAATATTTAATTAATCTTTACCAGTGATTTAACTTACAATGTCATGGTATTCTAAAGAATGTCTTTGTTTTGTTATTCAATATTTAATCTGCCCTACTCTGTAAAGTTGTCTAGTTAATTCTATGACTCTCACCGTTTTAGAATAGAATAATACTTATTGAACTCCTTATTTGAGACTGCTGCCATTATACAGAATGAAATAATAAAATACTTAGAGGATCAATAGTTTCTTACAAACCTATCACATATAATAAAGAGGAGAAATATGTGTCATAATGGAGATACATAACACTTTTGCCTTAATATTTATAAATTTCAATAGCATCTTATTTTTTATTCACACTTGCTTTTAGATCTTCCATTAAATTTGAGTAGTTGTTCTCAACTGCATACTCCTGAGTGAGACCACTGGCCCAGAGAGGGCCTAAGAGAGAGCCCTAAGAAAAGGAATGGGCTAGATGAGCTTTCAGTGCTAACTGACAAAGAATAATGAGAAAGACCCAGGTACCATGTATAGCATTCAGTGGTATACATACCAAATAAAGACAATATTTAAAGATGGCGGGTTTGGCCAACAATGTTAAACATTTCAAAAAATCAAGTAAAATTAAGACTTGAAAGATATTTACTGGATTTAGCAATAAACTTGTTATTGGTAGTATTCCAGTGACTATAGCTGCATAACCAGATCCTCCAAAACCTACCAGTTCCGTGGATCAGAAGTTTAGACAAGACATAGGGAGGATGGCTTGTCTTTACTCAGTGATGTCTGAGGACTCAACTAGACAACTCAAAGTCTGAAAATGAACTCATCTGAAGGCTTGTGCCTTTCACTTACATGTCTGGTGGCTGATGCTGGCTGAGGGCTGGTAGCTTCAGTTTTCTTTTATGGTCTCTCTTCCTGGGATAGTTTGGCCTTTCTCACAGAATGGTAGTTAATTTCTCCATAAAGAGCATTCCAAAAAGAGAAAAAAGAGTCAATGAAACAGAAAAATGTTAGAGTCCAGGTTGGGGATCACAAACTTGTATGATGGCGTGAGTTCCTCTGGTAGGGAACATCCTGGTTGTGCCCATCTCATAACTTTGTTATAAAAATTAAAGTGGCAAAAAATTATGAAGTTCTTAGATAAAATAACTCATATAAGGGTCACATAATTGCTTACCACATAAATAAAAAATAAAAACAAATCATACTCAGCTGTGGATAGTTAGGCACATGGAAAAAGGATAAAAAGGCAAATGATTTTAGATTATTTGCAAGATAATGGTTAAAATCGTAGCTCTTAGGGTACATGTAGCAATAAAAAAAAAAAATAGAAAGACCAATAATAAGAATGCAGTAAGAGTAAGACTGCAAAGTAATAGAGTAGTAGTAGGAGAGAATAGAGTTCTTGATGAGGCCAAAGAACAAAAGTGGAAATATCAGTGTGAGGGAGTTTGAAGTCTATATTTATGGATTCCTGAAGTTAAGAGTTGGTGAGGGACTTCAAAGCTGATCAAGGAACTGAGAGCCCAGAGAATTAGATGAACCATCTGCAATGACGGTCAACTCAGATTGGAGAGAAAGAAAATGAGCCATGTGCCAAAGTTGTCAGTAAATGAGGACAAATAGCTAGGAGATGTTAATAGGTATGAGCACTGGCTAAAAATAAAGGTTGGTATAGTTAGATGTAATTAACCTTTGTTTTCATCTCACTTCTTCCCAATCCACCCAATTTTCTGTACATGGTTTAATAACCACCAATATTCAGTTGACGCCCCCAAATCTACATCACCCATTCTTTAATTTCAGTTTTGTATATCCAACTGCTCACTACACCACTCTCTGGATATAGCAAAAGCACCATGAATTCCAACATGTCAAACATTGAATTTATTTTACACTTTAAAGCTCTGTAGCTTCTCATATTTTTTCTTCCAGCTGATGCATTGCCAGCCACTCAGATATACAGGTTAGAAACTTTGAAAACAGTTTGATTTCTTCTTCTTTCTATCCATCTATCCAACCACAATCAGGTCCTGTGAATTTTACCTTCTAAATATTTCTAGAAGTGGAAATCTTGTCTCACCTAGACAGATTAAGCCTACACTGCTGCCTAGGTTAGGCCTAGTTCATTCCTCATCTGAACTACAGGAATGTTGTTAACAGGTCTTTCTTTTTTCACTCTTGTCCCCTGCAAACATATGCTCCACATACTTGCATATATATCCAAGTTATTTCTATCAGGGAGAGCTAAACACATAATTCTCATTCTTTAAATATTTTCTTGGCTCCTCAATGCTCACAGTTTAAAAGTCTGAGTTACTTGGAACATGAACAAGATTCCACCATTGGGCTCCTGTCCAGGGCTCAATTCTCATCTCTTACCACTCATGTCTTACATTGAATTGTTCAGTTACTCCAAATGGCTTTTGTCCCTTGAATACAAGACTGTGTCATGACTCTCTGCATTGCTTCTGCTCCTTTCAGTTCCTGAGATGCCTTTATTACTAAACTGCTTAATCTCTATTCTTACTCTGCTTTCATATGACAAATTGCTATGCATCCTCTAATTCTTGTTTTGATCTCACTTCTTTTAGGAAATATTTGCTGGGATTAGGAACCATCTTCTAAGCTTCTGAAGATATATTTATCATAACACTTATAAACTATTATGTAATTGCCTTTTCTTTACTTGTCTCCATCTGAGTCCTTTGAGCATAAAACAGTGTCTTATCGTTATAGTCCCTTTACCTACAGTTCAGTGTCTTGTACGTATTAAGTGTTCGATAAATGCAAACTGATCAACTAAATGAATAAATACATGCTAAATAGTTAACTAAACAAAGCATGGAGTTAACTGCAATGTTGTGCTTATTAGATTATAATCTGTTCCCCAATAATTTAAATTCACGAAACCTAACAGGAAGTTACTCAGAATGTCTCTACTGGTGTATTTTATTAAGTAGCTAAGATGAGGAACTTATATATAAGGTATCCAATTTGTTGAAGCTTTATTTTTGAGGATGTTGACATGCTTTCTGAACTCTGCCTCCAGGTAGCCAAATTAATTTTTGGAGCACATCTAAGAGAAAAAGAAAAGTAAAATTACCCATATGGTTAGCATGATTTTCTCATGTATAAACATGACACAGATATCAAAAGTTATAAATATGTTAAGCACTTTTCCATCCCAACTGGGCCTTTAAATGATTTGTACAGCCTGTAGGTTGATTGTACATTAATGCAAATTCCTAGTGATGGATAATGCTGAATTGCATATGATTAACTACTTCATCTTTGAAATGCTGCCATTGTTCCACTTGCTAACAATGAAAAGGTGAATTTGTTAAAAGATACAGAAAGCATCTTTACATTTTGATTAAAAATAAATGAAGAAAAAGCTCCTAAGCCCTATGAAAAAAAGAATCAGTCAATGACAGTGTCCGTGCACAGGCAATGGAGTTAAAATTAGTGATAATTTTCAATAAAAATATAGTCTTTTTAAGAAGTGCAGCTGTTATTCAGAATTACAGTCTTTATTGAGCCACTAGACCAGATTGAATAGGGATAAAAAGCATTTCATGTATTATCGGATAAATTTCTGAAAAAAAGAGTTTAGGGACAGCTAAAAGAAAAATGTTAAATACATGCCAGTTGTTTACTAATTCTGATTTTTAAAAAAGTCTGTAACTTCAAAGCATTCTGGAAAAATAGCTCAGGGAATCCAACTGTGCAAAAGCAGTATGGCCCATTATAGAGATAAACTTAGTACATCTGTTTGGCTGGAACATTAAAGCTTGTGAATTAGATAGTTAAATGCATGAATGAGAGACCAATTTTATGCAAGTTTTGTTGTCGTTTTATATCCTCCTTTATTTCCATGTCTACATGCATCTCTCTGCAATCAACATACTTAAACAACTAGCATTTGATTTTTGAAGATCCTTTATGTTTAGTTTATGGGCAGTGATGTTAAGAGCATCATCTTAATATCTGGGCCTGGGGGTGGGAGGCCTCTATGACTTTTTCACACATATGGTTGTATACAATTTGTTTGCTGTTTACTTGCAAAGGGCAATTTCAGAGTTTGCCTCAGATGCTTTTGTCTGGTTCCAGAAAGGACAAATATTTATAGTCATGTAAAATATTTAAAGCTATTACATATGTTTATTTACCAGCAAGCATTTATTAAGTACCAACTATATGCCAGGAACAGGAAGAACAAAAGGAAAACAAAGAATAACTATATTAATTGGTTTAATTACCATTTCTTGGGTATGCTGTATATCATGCCCAACTTAGATGTTTTGAGTACGGTCATAAATAAGAAAGATACAGTTCTGGCAGGCATGCTTGGAACCATCTAAATGGGCCATAGCCAAATGGGACCAAAAAAACCACTTCCAATGAGGAGACAGAATTATTGGAAGGAATAAAGAAGGAAAATTCCTTTGCTAGCTTTCTTAAAGAGCTCCACAGATGCCAGTGATGAATAGAAAGGGGA